TCAATACATTGTCTCCATTTTATTATGAAGCTGCTGAGGAAGCTGTGATATACAGCACTGTCATTACAGATCTGTTGTTAGGACGGTTCCACAGTCTTCTTTGTACCACCATTAATTTATAGCAGTAAACAATATGTAGCCTTCCAACTGCAGCAAAGCAGAATCTTTTAATGAGGTGGATGTTATTACCACAATAAATCAGTGCTTTCGCGTAATGTATAATTCAATGTGTGTATTCCCACTGTAACTTCTCTGAGTAAGCTGATAGTGTATCATTGTCATTGCACAGCTCCACTGGTCTTTTTTTTTTTAACCTTCTTTTATTTGGGGACTTCTTTTTTATATGCTTGCAAATAAATGTGGTATGTCTTGATAGCTGTCCTCTCGCAGGCTTCAGAAACCAACTGTAACAATAACAGCCAGAATCGATACTGTGGGTTCTACCTCTATGGATCTCTGTGCAATGCCATTTTTTTTAGATGCTAGTGGAATCAATCCTAATTGGTTTTAGCATTATATTCAAGAAACGTGATTCTATAACTATTGATTTTGGGGGTGTACTCATTTGGAGAGTAATAAAAATAGGAGCAGATAAAGCGACTACTTAATATGCTGCAGAACCATACAAAAGGATCATTGATTCTATTTTTAATTCACATAATTTGTCTTCCACTGATTTTATTTCTTTTTTCCTTTTGCATAGCTCAGTCTTTAGGGACAGCAACTAAAATCCATTTAAAGGAATTCAAAATTGGTTCTGTAGCAAAGATTTTTTGAAATCAGTACCATTCTTAACTGGCATAAATGTAGAAAATTAGATATAATTCTTTTCTGAAGAAACTAATGCTTTAAAAGATGATGTTTTAAATCAGTCTGCTGTGACACTGATTTAGAATAGTAATCAACTAAAGATTTTTAAATATTTGCTTGTGAAGTTAAAAAATGGCTTGAAATAAAATGCTGATTAGAACATTTCAAAGCTATTGAAAGAGAATGGTGCCAAAGATAAACAGTTTTGAAAAAAATAAATGTAGATGAACTGATAAATTTTAAATGTTGCCTAAAATCACATATGAACATGAAAAACAGTTTAAAAATAGTTTAACATTGCTTCATATTCAATAGACTGTCTAAATGTATCATTTTTAAACCAGTATTTTAAAATTTATTTTACATTACCATTTCTTCCCATTAATAATCAGATATTTCCTTTCTGTTATGAGGAGTGACTAACTCATAGGTTTTCTTTCACTAAAGAAAGTAATCTGACATGTTTTTCAGTGGGTTGGCACTTAATATTTTAAATAATCAATAAGCATTTTCTATAAGTCAGAATTTTTTATGAGCATTGTTGCTTAAAACAGTTGATCTTAACACTTCCAGCCCTTAGAACCCTTTGAAAATCTTTCCCCCCTTTTTATTGAATTTATTGGGGTGAAAATCTTAACCTCTCACTATATCTTCCTTTAGAAAATGTTCGTGTACATCGTCACACATAATGTGCGTGCTGTTCAGTGGAGCTCAGGTGCTCCCTGAATAACAGCAGCAGCAATGATAACGTCTATACAGCTCTTCTCTGACACCGGCCAGAGCGCTGGGGTTTTACAGGCTATTGTTTTATTGAAACTTGACCCCAGTTCTAGAAGCTAATCTTAAACCCAATAGATAGCATTCGCTGGGTGTTTTCAGGCACAGTTTGCAGGACTTTACCTGTGCTGACTCATTATATTTTCCAAAACAACCTTCTGAGTGGGCGCTACTGTGCCCCAGTGAGCCCACGCTCTTTGCCACTCTGCTGTGCTGCTTTCCGGGCCTGTGCTCCAATGCATTGTTTCTGGCATACGCTTGCAATCTGTCTGCAGTTCTTCCTATGTTGTGTAGTGTTATATTTCACACAGGCATGTTTTTTTCCTCAAAACTCTGGTTCCGCTCATACTGAAAGAAATTTCTAGGTTTCTGTCTAATCCCCTTTCCTCGTAAGCTCCTCCTCGCACTCACCACTCCCTCCAGTTTCATTCTGTCCTTGTTTCAGAACCTTTTATAAACCAGTCCTCCAGCTTCAAGATTCTCTTTCTGGTTGTTGCTTCTGATTAACTAAATAGAATTTTATAGGTGCTTTCAAAGTATTATGTAGTTACCTTTTTTTGTTAAATCTTTACCCAAGGGTCTGTTTTTTATTGATGTTTAGAGGGAAAGGAAGGGCAGGGTGTAGAAACAAATATTTGAGAGAGAAACATCCATCCAGTTGCCTGCCACACGCACCCCAACTGGGGATCTAGCCTGCAAGCTGGGTATGTGCCCTGCTAGGAATCAAACCTACAACCTTTTGGTGTTTGGGATGATGCCCCAAGGACCTGAGCCACCTGGTCAGGACCACGTAATTGTCTTTTTGAAAATGCTTGCTACAGGCTGACTAAAGACTTTGATTCAACAAAAACTAGACTTAGAAATGACAGGTTTCTCCATTTATTTGTATGGATGTGTTTAATCTTCATTGATAATAAGTTTTTCTGCTGTCTGAATGTAACAATGTATTTTAGCTCAAATAGTTCCTATAGTTTTTAATTCACTTTTAAACTTGCTAAAATGACACATTTTAAAGAGTGAAAGAGATAAAAGATACTTACATTTGTGTTCTTACTTCTTTTTCCTCCCCATTGGCAGCCAGTAGGAGCTTTGAATCCAAAAAGAGCAGCGTTCTTTGCAGAGCGCTATGAATCATGGGAAGATGATCAAGTCCCTAAGTTCCACTATGGTACTCATTACTCAACTGCAAGTTTCGTTCTTGCATGGCTGCTAAGAATAGTAAGTTCAATTTAAATAATAAACTACGAATAAGTAAGTTCAGTGTTGTAGAGAATAGGCAGTCTTTTTTGAATGTTTTTTTCAATGACAAGGTTCTAGTTGTATCTCTATATCCCACTTGCTGTGTATTAGCGTAGAATTGCCTTAAAAATGTTTCACCTCAACCTGTGTGATCTTCTTCCTTAAATTTGCCTGTTCAAATGGTTGCTCTCCTACCAGATTCTAAACTGCAACATAGGTTATAGTCAAATGCTATCTATTAAGATAAGTAAAATTTCATTAACACAGATGTATATTCATATACTTAGGCACTTTCGTTGCCCCAAATGGAATAAGGTATCTTTGTAGGTTATTCCAAGGCTGCCATGTATTGATAATATATTGGTTAAACAAGAAATGTTTCTGTAAAATGGAAAGGTGATTCATCTACTGGAAAGTAATTTCTTTGGGAAAGCATTAGCAGCACATCATTAATTAAAGCTTGTTAGAAGGGTACAGGCAGACATAAATCCTAGAAGTAATTTATAGTGCTTAGCTAATTTCAAGCAATTATCCACTAATATGTGTTTAAGTGTTCTTTAACTAAGAGGAGGCTTTTAAATCTTCCAAACATTTTTCTTTTCTTAATCATAAATTAAATATTGAGTTGTAACAATAGGAAAATTACATATTTGACAATTTCCCTGTGCTATGAAGAAAATACCATCTAATTTATGTCTGAATGTTATTAATAAATTACTCTTAGAAGGAAAAGTGAAAAATGTTGCACATACCAAATTTTGGAAATATTTTTTTTGAAAGAAAATGATTTGAGAGCACATATTCCTGGCTAATATGTATCAGTCAGTAGAGTATTTAGATATAAAGATTATAAAAAACACATTTTTATGCATGAGGGGAGGTACTGATTTTTTTAATTGCTAATTTTTTAGGAACCCTTCACAACTTATTTCCTAAATTTGCAAGGAGGGAAATTTGATCACGCAGATCGAACTTTCTCATCAATTTCCAGAGCTTGGAGAAACAGTCAGCGTGATACATCTGATATCAAGGTACAGAAATGTTTCATTTTTCAATTATTGCCCATGTGTTCCTTGTTGAATGAATGTTGACAATTCCTCTTTTGCTGTACAGCCTAAAGATAAGCCTCAGAAAGGAGGTCTTACGTAAGCGGCCAGGAACCACTGTACAGAATCTGTCTGTCTCTTTCTCTCCCGTCTGTCTCTGTGCGCATGTCTGACTCTTCTCTCTCTGTCTCTTTCTTTAGTTGTGGAGCGGCGGTTTTTTCTCCTCTTTGGAGTCTTTATTTTTAAAGAAAAATTTATTACAGATGTAAGGAAGCATGCTCAATGGATATTCAAATTCAGAGTATAAAATTGACATATAGTCAGAAATGTACTGTGAGAAAAATCTCAAGGCTTTTATTTTTTTTCATTTTATGTCAGAGACCCCATGTGTCTATTCTTAAGGTGGTCATCTTTTACCTGCTGGGGGGTCTGAACGCACACCTGACCCTTACCAGACTTGCCCACAGGCTCAGAAGTACCGTAACTTACTTTCAGGACATAGTGTCTCTTTTGGTGGGGTATTGATGTCAGTTGCTCTTGAATGTAATGACATGTGCCCTATTGCAAAATTCTTATAGTCTCATGAAGACATGTAAATAATTATACTCTATGGGAGAAAATGGTGAGTTCTATGTGGGATATGTTGGGGTTCAAAAGGGAAGTTACATTACTAATGTTTATGGTTTTATAGAGTACTTTTAAAAAATTCAATAAAATGTGTTCACATACTTTCTTAGAGTATATCATTGCTTCTATCAAAGATATTTGATTAAACCAGATTTCATCTATGAAGAAATAATCATATATATTGGGACATCTGTAGGATTTTTTGATATCACTAATAATAAGCTATAGACTACTCCTGAAATGATATATCACACTCTAAGAATCATCAGTAGATAATTTTGGAATGACTGTTAGATAACATAATAGTTAACATATTTAATAATTGTTACTGAATTCCACTTCTGATCTTGCATTGTGTAATTATCTAACTCTCTTGAGAAGTAGTAGGAGATACAGACACGTGAAAACGCTGATTGGTCGGACTTTTTGTTCTCAGATTGAACAATTGTAAATTTTTAAAAATTTTATCAATTTCTTAATTTATTAAGCATGTAACGACCAAGTTCCAGCTGCATTCTTAGATTTGACACTAGCAGTGTAAACAATAGCAAAATCATGAATTGAACATTTTTCCCTCCTGTATTAGAAGGTAGCGCTGTCTTTAACGCTCTCCCTCTGTCAGAGCCAGACTCTCTGCTCGGTGCCGTGTCAGGCCGGTGGTGCAGGTGACCGAGCCGTGTAGTTTTCTCGTCCCTTTTTTTCTTCAATATTCTTTAATTAGCACTGCCTGGTTCACTTTTTTCAAACACTTCCCTTAAAATACCCCACCTGTTAAAAATAGATAAATATACAACATTAAAAACCAAAAAACCAAAATGCTCATGAACTGCTTTGCTTTCCTCCTTCCCTGTTTTGCTCACTGGTTTTCTTCCTTCACAGATCATAAGAGCTTAAATTTATCTCGCTTTCCTCTGAACGCCCCAGCAGACTTTAATAAAATCACGCCACTTACTAGACAGTACTAGAATTTCAGGTCTGCTACCATGGTACTTAATTTCTAGCTTTCTTGCAGTGTCAGATAGGGCATCTATATGAAAAAGTCGAGAACAGAGTGAGGGAAAAGTTTAAAGAAAAATTTAAAGTTCCACGGGTCAAGTTGATTGGAGCCTGATTAGAAGTAGAGCTTCATTCTTAAATACCATTTCGTTATGTTGAGATACACAGAAATTCTCTTCAGGACGAACTTTGCTGAAATCTGCTTGCCCTTCTAAGAAATATGAATATTCTCCTTTTATGCTTTTACCATAAAATATGTGTAGGGTAGATAGGACATTGATAAATTACCCCATTTTCTATATTGATAACCAACTAATTTGGGCCCTACCACTTAGTGACTTTTACACAATATATTTGAAAAATACACAATATACTGTTACTGCCCATCACAGTGTTCCACCCATGGCCCAGGATGGCTGTGAATGCAGCCCCACACAAAACCATAAATTTACTTACAACATTTTGAGGTTTTTTTTGTTTTAATTCACGTTGTGTATTTAATTTGTGGCCCAAGGTAACTCTTCTTCCAGTGTGTCCCAGAGGCACCAAAAGGGTGGACACCCTAAAGTTATGCCTTTTTTTTTTATAACTTACATTTTTAAAAGTGTTATATTTTAATACTTTAAAAGCATGTTTAGATTATTATATAGTATATGAGAATAAATATGAGAAAGCATATTTGAATCACTATAATAGTGCAAACATTTTATTGAGATGAAGCATATTTCAGTGGAATTATATAATTATAGTTTCATTTTTATTTGTATTGTCTTAGAATTGGTAGAAACACAGAGGAAAATGGTGAACAGTAGAGAAGGGGATAGAGAAATGTAAGGGTGGATTCTAAAGTATTACCTTGATTGATATGTTCTTTAAAGTGTTTTTATGCTATTTTACAAATATGAAATTTTGTGAGGCAAACAGAAGATTTATTTATTTTTTCAGAACATAATAATATAACATTTTTAGTACTTAACCTTTCTTTCTTTTTTTTTTTTTTTTTTTTGCTAAAGGGGAACTGTCACTTTAATATCTTAGAATCCCTATTTCTTGCATTCTGCTAATACTGAGAGAGTAGTTTTCTAAAAAGTGAAGTTTATTCCTATCAGCTAAAGGTAAAAATGTGATTATTTTTATTCCAGAGAAGAGAACGACCTTGTTAGATTCCACTAAAAGCAGTCTTTCATCTTCAGCATGACTTACTATTTAAGGTTGGGGCATCATTTGTCTTCCTGTGTGTTCCTGGTGGTTCCATTTGAGGCCGGGCCCTCCATGTCGCTTTCTGTTCTGCCTGGTAGACAGTTCAGAAGCGTTGCTCAGTTCTCTACGCAGGCCCACCACGCTGTCCACTAGAAATATAATGCAAACCACAGGTGTGCGCCGTGTAAACTATTTTAAATTTTCTTAGAGTTGCATTTTAAAAAGTCAAAGTGAAATTTTAATAACCTGTTACCTGGTGCATCTAAAATACTTATTTCACCATATAAACAATGTGAGATGATTAATTAGGTATCTCGCATTTTTTCTTTCATACTGAATCTTTGAGATCTGATGTGTATTTTCAGTTACACCGTGTAAGTATAACCACATTTCAAGTGTCAGATAGCCACTCGTGGCTGGTGGCTGCCGTAGTGGGCAGTGCAGACATCGGGCGTTGCTTCAGAAACCACCAGGGGACAGCTCGGTGCTTACGGAAAGGTGACGCCTTCCCCTCTCTGAGCAGCACTTTCCCGATGCCCTGCTTCATCGAAGTATGAGCTGACAGGTAGTGGCAGTAACAGGTAGTTTTGAGGACTGGAGTAGAAGGTGCTAAAACTGGGTTGGAGAATCATCACTGTGATAAGTAATAATGTTTAATCCTCAGCAGGCTCTTCGTTTCCAGGCTTAAAAACCCACTTAAGTGGGGAAACTGAGGTGCAAAATGGGTAACTGTCTTCAGCCTGAACTGTTATGACTAAATTTTGTGGAACAAATCACAGACTCTGGAAGGTTGAATGAATTTCACGACATAATCACATCTAAATATTAGGCAAATCTCTAAGCTTTTGTAGATAGTGTGTTCCTTTCAGGCACTTTAGCATCAATACATTAACCTTAATGGTCGAATACAACCTGAAGCACCACAGTCGAAACCCTGTGCCATCTCTCCTGCAGAATGATTGACTGTGCGGACTGGAGCGGAAGCAGTCGCAGCTGCCCCCAAGGCTCACTAGAAAGTGGGCAGGAGTAAAAGGGAGACAATTGGCGAATCGTATTTCTCCGGAAGCTCAGAATTTAGTGCAATGATATGTTACTGAAACAACCTTTGCTAAAAGTGAAATTAGAGTAAAAAGTTTGATACAATGCTGAGATTGCATTCAGTATTTAAATTATTTACTTTAGGCCCTAGTTGATGCAGCACCAGATAAAACATCATCGATGTTTCCTGCACTGGAGCAGATACTGACAATGAAACTGTCTCAGCAGTTCTGTGTAACAAGGACTCTATGGGCTCATAATACAGCATCTGAAATGCGGAGAAGGGAGAGGAAAGGGGAAATCCAGGGCCTGCATTGTGGGGCCGTGAACTCTTTCTGTGGTGGGGAGACATAGGGTTGGGGGGGAAGCAGAGGTGTGACAGGAACAGGTGCTGTGGTTCCAGGAGATGCCGATGGCTGGTGTTTGAATGCAAACTGTACTAGGGGACAGTCTGTGAGCCGTTAATGGAATTCAGCTGGAGGCAGTGGACACTTAAACTCAGTGAGTAGTGATAAGGACACCAGAGAAATGTGGATGAACTTAAGGCATTTAAAAGGTAAGAATTGTTAGGGTTTGCAAGTTGATTTGTCTTCAATGAGAGAGAAAGACAAATCAAATTCGACTTGGGCACGTGTGTAGAGAACACAGAGCGCAGATTCAGTTACGGCCCAGGTGTCCAGCTTCCATGCCCTCGGGGGAAACGTCCTGTGGCAGGTGACTTCAAATTTCCCCAGACACATTTAGTTAGCTCAGCATTTATTGGTTGTGTATCTTATGCAGCATATAACGGAGTGCACTTGGGGCTAAAAAGTTAAGATAAACACAAGTCTCTACTTCACCTCTCCAGGTGAGAAAGACAGGATTGCATCAAACTATTTGCAATACAAATTAGGCAGTGGTAAGTGCTAAACATAGATAAAAACAAAATGGAATTAATTCTCACTGGGGAGAAGGGGTTGTCAATGAGTTCACAGAACATGTACTATTTGAGTTGTATATCTTAAAAGATGCAAGGGAATTTTTATCGTAAAAGACGCAGCAGACCCCCTTAAATCGATGCACACTTGGGACATTTCTCCTGACTCCCTCCTCACCATCTTTATTTGAACATATAAAATGTACCCTACACTTAACACATTCAAAACCAGATTCCTGATATTTATTCCTTCACGCCTGCTCTTCTCATAGCCCTCCCCTTCTTAGTAAATGGTTTTCCAGATGAGTAAGAGCTGCAGCCCTTATGCTGTAAGAGACCCGAGGTTGCCTCCTGTTCCCTCCAAAATCCTGTTCCCTCTTGACCCCTCATTGTACTGTTTGCCCTTGCTCATTCAATTCTAGCTGAACAGGGTCTTTTGGGGATTCTTCAGATATTCTAGGTATCTTTCCACCTTGGAGGCTCTGCTTTTACTTTTTATTTCACTTGAAAAATTCATCCAGAAGTCTTTATGGATTTATTTCTTCCTTCCTTTCATGTCTTTGCTTAAACATCACCTTCTTACACGGCCTTCTCTGTTCTCTCTATTCAGAGTTACATCCCTCAGCCCAAGCACTTTTACTCCCTAGTTTTATTTTTCTTCATATCACTCTCCATCTAATATCCATATATTTACTTGTTTGTTTATTGTGTCTCACCCTCTGGAACATGAGCGCCCCCTGAGTGTGAAATCTAGACTCTTGCTCATTGCTTTATCCCTAAAGCTTAAAACAATTCCTGAAACATAGTAGACACTAAATCCAATATTCCTTAAACGAGTGCACTAATGACATGTAGAAGAGTGTTCTGAGCCCAGAGACTCACAGGAATGAAGTTAGGGAAAATGCTTTGCACGTTAGGGCATGCGTTCTTGGTCTGCTAATTGGTCTTACGGACTTGGTGTACAGGGAAGAAGGAGAGATGCCAAAAAGACCTGCGCTCTAATGAGAAGACTCTTGGTAGCGTTCTGAAAATATTTGACTTAATGCTGTAGGTCAGGTCAGCAAAATGTTTCTGTAAATGGTCAGATAATGAATATTTTTCCACTTGAATTCTGTGCCATCTCTGTCATAGCTACTCAGCTCGACCACTGCAATGCAAAAGTAGCCAAAGACAACATGTGGACAAATGAGTATGACTGAGTTCCAGTAAAATTTTATTTATGAAAATAGGTGACGGGTCACTTTTGGCCCGTGGGCTGCAGGGTGCTAGCCCCTGCTTTAGCAGTGAGAGCGAGCACCGGTTTTTGACCAGCAGCACCACGTAACTGGGGAAGTGCCTTGGCAGCAGCGTTTAAACTAGATCCAGGGATGGGGAAGGAGGATGTGAGCCTGAGGCAGGGAGAACTGTCGGAGGTCATTGCAGTTCCTCAACCAACCAAGGGGATGAGGTCAAGGGACAGGTTAAAGTAATTCTCCAGGACATGGCATTTGGTGACTACCCACTACTTTATTAAAACCAGTCTTGTCAGGGTCATTAATAAATGATTTCCATGCTGTCTAATATACATTTTCAGTTCTGATCTTACTTGATCTGTCAGCATTGTTGAAGCAATTAATTGATTCATTTTCCTTAGAATGTCTTCTTCACTTGGTTTCTGAACTAAGGATCCACCCTCTTCTGGCCCCATTTTGTTTTTCCCAGCCTTCTTTACCGGACTATCGTGTTTTCATACCCTACATGGTCGGATTACCCTGGGGCTTGGTCTTTGCATTGTTCCGCATGAACTCTTGCTCCCTAGTGATTGCACCTCACGTCTTGGCTTGTCCGTGAATTTTAGATTTATACAGCCAGGTCACAGGCATTTTTATTGCCTACTTCTCTACCCCAAATGAAAAAAAGTCCTTTCTTCCCTCAGTGTTTGCTATCTCAGTAAAACACAGCACCATTTACTGAGTTTGCTCGGGCCTTTAGGAGGCTTAGAATCTTTGATTCCTCCCTTTCTCACACACAGCACGCTTCCCAGCTTCTCAGTCTGCAGAATATGTGCAGAATCTGCCCAGTTATCACCACATCCATCCCTAGCACTGTAGCCCAAGTGACTATCATCTCTCACTCTGCTGTTTTCCGTATGGTGTTTTCTACACATGGCACAACAAGAATGATCTTTTTGTATTATAAATAAGATCGTATTCCTCTGGTCAAATCTCTCCAATGATGGCTCAACCAAGAACAAAATTCAAGTCCTTAATTTAGCCACTGAGACCCCATGGTATCTGGTGCTTCTCCGACTCCTCATCTGCTGCAGCCTTATTTGCCTTTGCTGTTGTTCCTGCTCAAACATGCCATGCCCACTCCTGTTTGGGTGGCATTGTTTAAAAGGTTTCTGTGCCTGAACCATTTTCCCCCAGGTGTTTGCTTTGCCCATTCCTTTCATTCAGGTTTCTGCTCCAGTGCCACCTACTCGGAGTGGGTTTACACTGAACACCCACTCTGAAATCATTCTGTGTCCCCATATCTTGTTCCATGCTTTTATACAGTATTTGCCACTATTTAGCATGATACACATATAGTGGTTTGTTTGTTTGTTTGTTTATCTCCATCACTAGCAGTCTATGAAAGTGGGGATTTTCTGTTTTATCTCCTTTGTAACCGTAGCATTTGGAATATGCCTCGCAATTAGTTAGAAATCAGCAAATATTGACTGGATGAAGGAATGAATAGATTTAAAGATGCCAGAAAAAGAGAAGTCAGGGAAAGAGCCTGGGAAAAAGGGAGAGTTCATTGGAGGAGAAAGGATAGAGTGTATGGCCACCCCAGCCAGAGGGCTCAGCAAAACCCCAGTGGATGTGAGCTCCACAGGGAATGGGTTATAGCGCCCTGTATTCTAGGCAGGGCTTTTCTGGCCACGAGAAAACTGAAAGCTGCCTGTCATCTGCTGACTGAGAGTTGTTAATAAATGCAATTTTCTCTATTTTTATATTTAAGATGGATTAAGTTCTGTACATTGTATAACTTTACAAAAGAAGCCCATATGGACATCTCGTCACTGGTCATACCTTGTACACTCAATTTGAAAATCCATCTTGTAATCTGTTGTGTATTGTTAGTGATGAATATAAAATTTATATTAAGTTATGAAATTAGGCTCAATACAGCATATTTAATACTTACAATTAAATAAATGGAATGTAATTAAATCCTAAGATACTACGAAATAATATTTTTAAATAAATGGCGATCATTAATATTACAAGAATTAGTTTTAGCTTTAAAAATTAACCCTTAAAAGTTTTAAATGCCCACATTTGTTAAAGAATATAAAATGGAGATGATCATAGAATGGTTTTATTTGTGTCTTGTGAGATTTGTAAAACACGAGACCTTTGACTTGCCCTATTCTACCTCCGAAATCCCAGGGGTCTGTAATTTGAAAGATTAAGTTAGCTTCCTTTTCCCCTATGCGCATACTGCCCACCGTAATACATTGCATGGATGCTGACGGCATCCACGTTGTAGCCATTTGTAAGTAAGTGTTTAGCTACAGAAAAACATAGTTGCTGGAAATATATTTCTTGATGCATTTGTTTTAAAAAACCTAAACTTTAGTGATTGGGTAGTTTTATTTTTCTTAGTAAAAATAAATTTATCATTTCTTCCTATTTTTCAGACATATCTGTAAATAATTGAATATTTTTAAATGCTAAAGGAAACAATTAAATTCTTATTCTTTTCCATATAGCCCTTGTACATTTCTGGCTCATGTACTCCCTCCCTCCCTTTCTTACTCCCTCCCTCCTTCCCTCCTATTCCTCCTCTCTTTCTATTGTTTATTTTTCTGCAAGTTTCTCTTTTCCCATCCTCCTGTCTCTGCCTTCCACGCGTCCACTTTAGCGTGTGCTCAAGCCGTCTCACCTCTCTCTTAGCAATATGAAACATTTACACTAACTGAACTAGCCATCTGTTCATCCTTGTTTTTACACATGACTTATACATACCTTGCAGACTTGTTAATTTCACCACCTCACTTAACTCTTTTCTTCACGTATCAGTGGGTTAGATGACGTATCCATGTGCAGCCTCACTTAAGTCAACGTTAAGTGAAATAACACAATAGAAAACCAGTTTTACCATAGGCTGATTGATACAAGCAAGGGTTGGGTTTCTAGTGTCTCCTCAACAAAAATGTTATCTGAGGACCTGCTGTACTTTTTTTCCTTATCTTTGAACTTTGTACTTTTGTGTCTACAGTGATTTGTTTTTGTTCTTTGGCGAAAAGTATTTGAAACACTGAATATTTTTCTTCTTGCGTTACTTATATACTAGGCAGGAAAAAAGTCTTTTAAGGCACTTAGAAAATGTTCCTGTCATCCTGAATTATAAAAATGTATACACATCAGCTGTGATTTGTTATTTTACGGGTGATCAAAAGACATTTTGGTTACATTAAAAATTTAGACTGTTCATTAATGTGTTCATGGACACTGATATTAACTGTTCTCACCCATACTCATAGCGATATGTACTTATTTTACAACTTTTTCAGAAAAAAGTTAAGGTGGGCATTTAATTTATGTCTTCTCTTCTGATAGCTACAGTGTACATGTTGTTTGCATTGTTAATGTTTACTAACTCTTTCCAGGTTACAGTTTTCTTGCAGATAGGGTCCTGGAAAAGCAACAGGCTCAGTGAGAATGCCCAGTCCCAATATAGAAGTGAAAAATGTGTTGAAGGCAGAAGACAGCTATAAAATATTGAGGGTATTCATCATGAAGTTAGATACACTGAGCCATACTGTCATTGCTAATAAAGAAGAATAAATTTGTTTTAAATGTGATAGTTACTTAGTAGGAATTATGAAGTCTCAAACATTTTTGTGGACACATGAACTTTTATAAGTATGTTGCATTAAATGCTCATAGAATTATGTTAAATGCTTTCATAAATGAACATAATTCAGTGAATACCCTTTTCACTTTAACAATCAGGCAAGTTGAGACTATAATTTGGGATATTTATCAGGGATCACATTAATGATGATAATAATAGCAATAAGATCTTATGTGCATATAGAATTCTATATTATCTCATATTGGCCTCACAGTAACTCTGTGTTTTAGAAATTGCAATGAAGGGGAGTAAGGGTCAGAAAAATTGAATTAGTTTAAGGACATGTGACCAGTAATCTGAGTAGACAAGACTCAAATCCAATTATTGTCCTCACTATATTAGATTGAGATAGATTATCTATTATCTATTGGTTTGTAGTCTCTGATTTTTCTTTATTTTAATGCATTTGCAAAGACAGTTTTCTAATATTTAAAACCACATGGTATTTATGGGATCTTTATACAAGGGCTATAGGTTATTTTTCTTTCTCCAATTTCAAAAATTAATGTTATGTTTCTTTTACTAACAAAAACATTGTATTTTATCTACTGAGTAAGGAAAAACTAAATTTCATCATCAATTTGAAAACTTTCAGATATGCAGTCCACTTAAAATGACTTAGAGGTACAATTCAACTCTGAGTTTTTAAAAAAACTATAATTTGTGGCCTAAAAAATTAAATACTTGAAAGTTGAAATGTATCAAAGCATATACATTATTTTTCCGTAATATATTTACTTTTTTGTTCATTAAAAAAGCTTATATTTATATATATTTTTCTTTGATAAACTATTATTTCCTAGTGGTGAGAAGCCAAAATTTCACTTGCACATTTGTGTTACCATCAATGTACCCAGAATAGTGTGCATTAAATTCGTTACCTCACTATGGTGCTGGCATTTGAGTTGGCAGGATTTCATATTTTAATAAGAATAAAATAAAAATTTAACTTTGGCCGTGATGGAGCATCTTCCTTTTTATTTCAATTTTGATTATATTGTTGCTTTGGGTTAGTAGATTAGTATTTGTGGTGGGTGCCAGGTACGTTTGAAGTTAATGGTTTCAGTTCCGTGGACAGAACTGGTGGCTGTGGGCAGGAGAATCGCACAGCCTCGTGCAGAGGCCCCTTGTGTCAGCCGGGATCATACCTCAATAAAGAAAACTGAAGCATATGTGTGGTCACAACCAATCCTTATCATTAGACCATGAAAGCCTTGGGATTTGTGATCAAAGCAATGGGCTTACCCTGAACTGTGGTATAACCTCTGGTTGAACCTTTCAAATTTTTATTTTAGGAGATTATACAGTGCATTTGACCATGTTACCTGCTTCTATGACCCATCTGCCTAATTAAATGACAGAGATTAAAATCATTGTCAGCAAGTCAGGAGAAAATGTGAATTGTAAATATCTCTGTCTTCTGTCAGTGTTTACTTATCATTTTCTACTCATGTTTTAAAGAATTGCTGAACATGTGTTTTTTATCTAGAGCCGAAGGTTCTCTTCTGATGAATATAAAACATACTTCACTTTGTGCATGTTACATTAGAAGTATTAGAAAGACTTAATCTTTGACTCTGATACTAAATTTTATCTGTCAAAGGAGATCATTTTAAACTCCAATATTTGGTAATGTCAAGTGATGTTTCTTAGAAAGATGCTTTCGGGATTAAGATGGAATTCCATGCTGTAAATAGGATGTCATTGTCATCCATAGAAACATTCAGGCTGTATGTATACTTATTTCTCTGGTCACATGTTGGTGTACCTCAGTTGAGTTCAGTAAGTTTATTTGACATTAAAGATGATAATTCAACTCCTATCAACTAATTTATTCATGCACATTTCCTTATAGTGAGGTCGTTATATGTTTTAAGTATATACGCTTGCTCCTTTACTTAGTTTGTGCTTATTTGATGATGTTTGTTACACTATATGTAGATTCTGCATGATCTTTCTCTTCAGTGTTAAATTTCCTGGAAACATTCATTCTGTTTTAAATTTAGTTTTGTTTTTTAAATTCTCTTATGGAAAAAATGTTTTTCTTATGGAGAATAAGCTAAACTTTGTTGCCTGGCATTCAGGCTTCCCGCACTTGGACCCTTCCAGTGTCTCCACAGCTTTATTCCCCATCTCGTGTAGATGGCCCTCTCTAAACCCGTTCAATGGTTCTGCACTGGTCATTGGAAATGGTAATGCATGTTCTCATCTCTATATCTCTTTTTAAAATACGTCTCTTGTCAGAACTATTCTAGTTTCCCCACGCTTATGTATCCTTGAGTTTAAGTACCATTTTTCAGTCCTTCAGTCAGCAAATTTTCACTGAGTGCCTGGCTTGTGTCACAGTCCATGTCTAGGCTTTGGCAGTGTGGTGGTGAACGAGATACGTGACGTCCTCAGTCTCGTGGAGCCGACAGTTTAGAATAAGATACAAGCCAACAATCACAGTACAGTGTGATGAGTGTTGTATTAGAGGAATGCATTGTATGATCTTCATTTCCCTAATGCTTACTCTGACCATCCCAGCGTTTAGACATCCTTTCTCTTTTGAATTTCTAGTGTGCCGTTTTTCCTGCAACCATTTTCCTCCTCATGAATGTACCCTTTCACTCTTTCTCAGCAATTTAAGTCTGTGATCTGTAAGGAGGGAAAGACGCTTGTGGATCCATATTCCAGACCCTACCCTAGTCCTCTACAAAGGGTAGAGAAAACGAAAAACTAAGTAAATGTTTCTGTTTCTTTGTGTGATAATGATACATCACATCACCCTTTGTGTCACTGAAATATATATAAATTCATAGCCACAACCTCAAGTATGTAAGATATGTCCCAGTTTGAATTCAAATCTTTTTCATATTAGGCTACTTGGAAATTTACTACATAGTCATTAAAGGGGTGGGCAAGGACCTCCTTTTCCCAAGATTGAATGAGATCCAAGCTTGCGTGGTACCTAGAAAATTGGCCCTCACATCTTAATTCCATTTTGTCACATCCTCGCTCTCTAAGACACGTGGTTTTGGGAGGCAGAGCGCTCTGCTGATCATACCAAGCTTGGGTTAAGAAATATTTGCTGATGCCAAAATTCCTGGCGCCAAGAGACTAGCTTCCCGAAATGTACCATTGTGAGGCCACCAAGTCCATCGGCAGATCGTCTGGAATGCAGGGGTGCTTATCTGAAGCAAAGAACAGGAGCATAAGCCCAGCATGCTCTCCACTCACCCAACTGAGTCCGCTTCAGGGCTGCACAGCCCAGAAGGGTCGTCCTTTTCTAATTCACGAAGACCCCGATGGAAGCACGTTGGGACCGGATCACAACTCATCATCCCCTGGGTCCAGCCTGGCTTCATCCGTCTCCTTCCCCTGGCGCTGAGAGAAAGCTGATTACAGATGTAGAGCAACCTGCCTCCTTACTCTCAGGAAACCCTTCTCTCTCTCCTGAGGCTTCTGTCTCTAAAACTGTTAACTTTTCACCCTGCTCTCCTGGACACCTTACATAATGCCTGTTTGCTTAGACTTTCACAAAGGACAGAAAAAGAGGATGTCCTCAAGATGCCTCTGCTCTGGACCATGCAGAAGTTCTGGAAATGCCTGACTGCTTGCTGAAATCAAGGGGTGTGGGGGCATGAGGTAAAAATTAAGAGGGCAAACTAATTCATATCTTCATAACTTTCCAGTGAAATTTTAAGCTTTTTAATCAATAAAGTGTGAAATTTTAATTTTGAAATATTTTTATAATATACATTGTATAAAATCTATAGAAATCTTTGTAGGAAGCACAAATAAAATCTATTATTAAAACAAATTTGCCCTGACTGGTGTAGCTCAGTGGATTGAGCGTGGGCCTGCGAACCAAAATATCGCAGTTCAATTCCCAGTCAGGGTGCATGCCTGGGTTGCAGGCCAGGTCCCAGCAGGGGATGCACCAGAAGCAACCATATTTCTCTCCTTCTCTCCTTCCCTTCCCCTCTAAAGATAAATAAATAAAAATTAAAAAAAAAAAAACAAATTGATGAGTTTGTTATTATCTCCCACCTGGCAGGTTGGAAATTACACAGCTGAAAGTTTAACAGGGTCCAGTAAGACTTAAAAGTGCTTCCTTCCTATCTTTTGTGAATAATTTCTCATTTGCTTTATGTGTATTTTGTTTCATTTATTTTCTTTTATAGTATTGATAATGGTATTGCAGCAGTCCCAATTTTTCCCCTGTTGGCCCCCTCCACCCAGCCTCTCCCCCTCCCTCATGCAATCTCCCCACCATTGTTCACGTCCACGGGTCATGAGTA